AGAACTGGAAGAGTTAGGTGTGGAAAGAGATGCCAAGACCAGACTCTGGAACTAGTGGCAATAAACAGATGTTCAGAATCTTTGTCTGTGACGCATCAAAAATATTTACTGGGAAACCCCKTACACTCAATCAAGCCCCTTGATTTTGAGATTAAACTGTGTTCCAGTATTGCGTCTTATTTTTTCCTCCCCAGATTACATGCAAAAATGTTGTGTTCTTTCCAAGGTTTTCTGTTCAGCATCTTTATTGCAACTTTAAATCTAAATCTCATTCCAACAGTTTCATGGTTCATGTCTGGCAGTTTTATCAGTAGAGTAGCTCTTGTAGTAAAGTTGCTGCTGGGTAAAGCTAAGGAAGATGGCAAGTCCTGAAACTCTGAAGGTGTTGAAGTTTGTGCAGGCTTCTAATTGGTTTGTGTTGGAACTAAGAGCAGTAGTAATACACCCTGTAGTCATCAAATTTCTCTTCAGCACAGGAAACTGTACTGGGATTGCAGCCAGGCTTGACTGCTGAGCGTGCAGGTTTTCTGTTTATTTATTTTTAAATTTATCTATCTTCTTGCATTGCAGCCAGCCTGATCAGACGTTAGATCTGAACTTCAGTGTGTGTTTATGTGCTCATTGTGTGTATTAGTGAGGTCACTGAAGGTGGATGTGGCTAATCACTGTGTGAGCACACTGAAGGTGGATGTGGCTAATCACTGTGTGAGCAACACAAGTGGTTTGGTATATCTTTGCCAAGCTTACTCTGTAGCCCCTGGGTGACCTTTTGTTGCATAATTTACGTGTCTTTAAGGTCAAAATGCATTCGAGGCCAGTGCTGTTATATTTGAGCTGCTATGACCTTTGGTGGGATTACACCACCCCGTCCCCCCTAGATTTTAGTGGGGTCAGTTGTAATGTTGGAGGACACTGTTTGTCCTAATCTTAGTGGTGAGTGATTGAATCAAACCTCACTTTTTTTTCCCYTGAGCATCTATTCTGATACTGAAGATGGATATCTGGTTCTGTGGTTTTAAAAAAGCCTCTGTTCTCAATTTACAGAATATCCAGCAAGTTCTGTACTAACGGCAAGCCCTTTTAAAGTACAAGTTTTATTGCTGCAAGGATTTTAGAGCAAAGTTTGTTAGGACAGTAAAGTGTTTTGTAATAAGTGGAACTGCCTGTAGGCCGCTGCACATTTCTCTGGGCTTTGGTTTCAAARGAAAGTGAGTAAAGCATGGTGTCAAAATGGAGAAAATAAAATAAGATACCAAARTCTAACCCTGGACGTGGACCTTTCATGCTAGAGTTTAGGATTAACAGCATCTTCTATGAGAAATGAGCTGTTTATGATCAAATCTTTAAAAATATTGTCATGCAAGATCTCTTGCGATATGAAATCATAAATGTGTGTGTGTTGCAAATGAGCCTCACCTACCACATCAAATTTTAGTTTTTCTAAAATCAAGTGGGCCAAGCCTAACTCTTTCAGGACCAGGTGGAGGACTCCTATAGATCACCTGTAAAATGACCTTTAAGAGTAGTGGAGTCTGCTTTAAGTTTAATGTATGCATCAGTGCCTGCAGATTTGAGTGTTAAAGTCCAAGTGCTTATACGCCACAGGGCTTTTCATCTGGTGGCCCTGCAGCCACATGCGGCCCATGGGTGAGCCTAGTCCAGCCCAATGATGATTTCATTTAAAATAAAACTTGATTAGAAATCGTAAATCAAATGTAGCGACGACAATTACTGGATTCCTGGGCTGTTGGCTTTCAGTAACTGGCTGGCCTACTAAAAGTTTTAGTTGAATGACCCTGACAATGACTCAAATTGTTGCTCGTAAAACCGGATGGAGGTGGTTTGAATGTGACTTTTCCATTTTAGAAGTTGTGGCACATGGCTGTGGCGCTGATCTTGTTTCAGTGTGTAGTAATTTAACACAAGTGCCAAGCACATAAGATGTGACATGTACCCTGGGTTAGCATTCTGCAGAGTGCAGCCCATCAGGGAGGGGTTGAGGCTGTGTCTGTACCTACTGTCTGAACTCACACCATAGGATGATGTCATCAGACGTACAAAAACCAATGCTCATATTGGTTATGTTTGGGTTTGTGACTAAAATATTGTTACTGAAGGCTTCAGAACTATAACTAACATAAAACTCAGACTATATTAATTTGACTAGCAGAAGGGGTTAAAACCTAGTTAAGATGCTTAAATTTGATGTATTTTATTACTATTTGCATATTAAGTATTGAAATGTGAAAACTGGGGTGCAGTGGTTTAACTCTGGGTTCAGGTTGGAATATAGGTGGACAGAAATCTATTTTTAGATGCATCGCTTGCCAGATATGGAGTATTTGAATTATCTTTAAATGTTAATAATTGATTTTTGTTCTGTGGTGCCATTTATTATTTTAGGAGTTAGTTTAGATTCCTGTTAAAGAAACATGTTTTTATCTGCCCAACTATATATGCTGAGCTTTCTGTCTGTCTTCCTTCCTACGAAGAGATTCAGGTTATACCAGTGTTGCATGAAAAATCACAAAACAAACAGCGATGTCAGCATTTATTCTCAACACATGGCTGACTTCACAGACTAGAACTAATGTTTTGGGGATGGGACTCTAGAGGCCTGACAGTTCACAGTTCACTTCAGAGGGCTGTAATTATAAATGTTAATACAACTGATRATCTTGTAACTTAAGACTATGGCTTATTCTAAACAAATGTTCCTGCCTAATGAGTGCAACATCTGTGTAAAAACCCTCTTAGGACTGCTTTCAATTCATTGCATACAGCTGCTGGTTTAGCATGTTTCAGGTTAAAGCAGGGTAAAAATGTGTTTTTGTGGTGATCAAACAGGAAGTCAAATCCAGTAAACATAAGCTTTTATAATGGAGAAGTGTCCTGAATGAAGTGAAGCAGTGATTGTGTGTAATGATTGGAACATGTTAACAGCTGAGCCAAGCTAAATGCTTCGACTTTTGGTTGTTAATTAATTCCCACGAGGCTAGCCTCCACTGTAACCTGGGATACATTGTTATAACTCATCCACCAGTTTCAACCTAAACATGCTGCTGTTCCATCAAGTTTGTTGAAATCTGTGGGTTCTCTCTGCTTCAGTTGGTATAAATATCTTTGAAAGTCCTTGTGGTTAATGTGTAATAGATGTCATGTAGGGTGAATGACCCGAACAGAAACGGAGCTGCTGTCAGAACACACAGAAAATAACTTGGTTACATTTAGTTCATTAGAAGAATATACACTGCTCAAAAAAATAAAGGGAACGCTGCTGCTCAAAAAAATAAAGGGAACGCTGCTGCTCAAAAAAATAAAGGGAACGCTGCTGCTCAAAAAAATAAAGGGAACACTACTGCTCAAAAAATAAAGGGAACACTACTGCTCAAAAAAATAAAGGGAACACTACTGCTCAAAAAAATAAAGGGA